CTAAGATGTGTATATCTCCATCTTTTTAAATAATGTAATCTTCCCATCATTAGAACTGAGGCTCCGATTGTTACTGTTGACTAACATTGCGTTTGTTACAGGGAGCCATTGTTAGTGGATGTATGAGCTGTGCACTTGTTGGATGGCTTTCGATTGGACGATACGTAAATGGTGTATCCAGCGTGAATACAAAACTTGAACCAGCTTCTATGGAAAACTGTATATTTCCAAACGTTTCTCTTATCACCAATACAAATATGTCCAGCTACATAATCAGTACAAGTAATATGTCGACATTTGCATCATCGCAACCTCCCGATATTACCACCTCTTCGGGACCGTACGTAACTTTTTGTACAGCTTATCTCATTCTCCTCGTAATTGTTCATGAATTTCCAAGTTCATAGGTCATCTGACCTATAGCCATCGTGTTTGTCCGTTGTCATGCGTTGTGCATAAACTTCTTTTTTACATTTAAAACTTTCAAGTTGCAATGATGGGAAACTGCCAAAAATGTCCTGAGATAATCCTGACCAATTATTGGCATTTTTCGATTAAGTCCGAAATCCAGTATGCCTGTCATAACTATCATCTTAAAAACCTTTCGTATGTATCAATGGTGCCATGGGGATTAAGTTTGTCTTTCTGTTGCTCATATGTTCCTGATTTTGAGTTTGACTGAAGATGATGTTGACATGTTTTAATTTTCTTAATTTTCTACCTTTTTCTCAACTACAAATTATAACTTTTATTTCCAAAACATGTACTTCTATTATTCTGGATATGAAAGAAAACAGATTGATACTATCTCTCAGTTTATATCAGCAAATAAAAATCTGTCAAGATTCTTCGTTAAAAAAAATGATCAAAACTTATAATATATCAATTTCCAACTGTGTAATGGTAACTTTTGGTTAACATCGAATACATGTTCGTTTTGATTTCCATACTAACAACTTATTATCATTATTATCTTGCAGAGAAGGTGTCAACATATTTTACGCTATTTCCTACAAATGGCTGAGAACAATCGGTATATTAACTGTTCTCATAGCAGGATCGCTTATCAGTCGCCTTAGAAGTAAGTAACTCAATATTCTCTCGGATGCTTTCATGTCACAATTAAAGGAGTATCATTTATTTACGTTATTCAAAAATCCTATTTTTGGTGTCAGCTGCTTTGGAAAATGTAGTATACAACTGTACACGGTAAAATTGTTGAAAAAGGTATGTATAGGAAAAACCATTTTACTATATTGGCAAATTATTGTTTCTAATGATGAGTAAATATCGTGACGTGTGTATCAGAAAATTCATGTGGTTTACATTTTAACCAGAGCCAGATGCTGTAGACAAAAGTCTCACTGTTCCTGTGGGTGACCTGTTGTGTAGCTGTATACCGAAATCATTCAGACGAAAATATTGCTGTGGTTCCCAATACCATTCATCTACTCAGGATGACGTAAGTTATATTAAGCTTTGACAAGTTCGCAATCAGAGATTTCTTTTATACCAGCATGAAATAATCCTATTAAAAATTGATAATTATTTTTTAAGCTATGTTTTCAAATAATAAACAACACATGATTACATTAATCTCATAAATTAATAAAAAATTACTTTTAAACAAATCATTACGATAAAAAATTGCGTGACGTAACGAGACGTCATTAACAGCTTATTCGTGCCATTTTTTTTTTGTCATTCAAAATTCGGTCATGAGTGGGCTCGTTACATCTATTTAGAGTAAAGACGCATGTTCTCCGAGAGCAAACGTGACAAGTGGTTTGTTTACATTTTTTTGTCGTAAGAGTGTTGAATCTTAAGGATTAGCGATTTGTGAGAGTGATGAGTAGAACAAGAGCAGCTCGGTTATCAATTCTGGTTTTCCTTATACAACAGGTAGGGTGCTGCTGATGTTTGGTGATTCTCATCTAATTCATCATTCATTTTCGGCATCAAAGCAAAAGACATAAACCTGGATTGAAATCAATTCTTTATTTGTATGCCGGACTCAAAATTTAAAAGCAATATAAGGTTTTGTTTGGGCGCTGTGAGATTGCATTCTGCCTTAAGTAGAAAAATGTACAAAAATACTTACAAAGCTTTAATTGTATTTCCCCGACAAGACCATTATTTTACTTCTTAATGTTCGTGTATATTGTATGATATTTAAATATTGTATGCTGTTTCAATCCGGTTTTTTGTTTACATCATCGAATGACAGCGATGCACACACAGTTGGTAATCATTATCAAGTGGTTGAAGGTAGATATTTCTTACCGAGAAATGAGATGAAAAACATTGACAAATCAGGAAGCGGTTTTTTTTTGTACAAAAAACAAAATTATTATTAGTTATGAACATGTGTTTCTTTCGATCATTAATGGTGAAGGTATTTTATTCCGAATATCAAAAATTATCAGAAATGAAACAAGATTCACCATGATGTTTAGGACGAATTGCAAACAATATTCAAATGATTTCAAATATATCTAAATTCCTTACTCTTATCATTTGTTTAATCACTTAATGAATAAACATTTCAGTAGGATATTAAATTCAATAATATGATAGCCAATATGAGAAGGATGGCAGTTAAATAGCGAAATAGAGAGGTACTTTAGAAAATAGATGAAATAAAAACTAACTTTTATAACAAAAACTTAATTATTCGTGGTTGTGGTAGAATCTCAACAAACTGATAAGTCAAATGAAAAATGAAGTAAAAAAAACAACTTCTGCAACCCCAAGGAATGCTTCGCCAGTACAAAAAGACAGGCAATGAAACTGAATAGTTGTTTTTCCTGGTGGCACAGTGTTTTGCAGAATCTTTCTTTAGATATGGACAAAATTTATGTGAAACAATATCTTATCTTATCTTATATAAATGTTTCTTTGTTCCAGATATCACTTGATGACATTCAACTCGACCACGTCAAAACTTCCAATGGTCAATAGTGCATCGTAGTGGTGTGATGTAGTAACACTTATTTTTGCGTATTACACATATGTAATAAAAGCTATCATGACGCAAGCATAATGAGATGACGTCACACATTTCCAGTTGGATGTGGAAAATCAGTTTACTTCAGAATATAACTAAATATGAAATCCTTTTATTTGATATGAGATAAATAGGACTTGCACCAACCTTTTTTTCAGCTCAGCTTGAAAATCTTAGACTTGTTTTTAAAATAATATATCACATGAAAACTATCTGTGTCATATGGATATATTTAGGACACGCCGCTGGTAATAATATCTCCAGGAGAATACCGAAACTTTACATGAATTCAATTACAGTGGGTATGAGATCCTCGATTTAGTACCAATTTACAAGTCATGGAAAATATCTTAGGTGTAAACAACACATGTAGTCATTTGTCTAGGAAATATTAAGAATATTACAAATTCACATAATTGGAATGTAGATACGGAATTTAGAAGTTTCTATAGTGAAAGACAATTCATATGGAAGATGACTTGCTACGATTAACGCCAAGGATATGTATAATGTAAATATCATGTTAGTCAGACAGCACTGTGACGTCACTTGCCAACAAGTTTAGATAGGGTTTTGTTGCGCTTTTCATGCCATTTTTCCCCATTCAATGTAATGATATATTAAACATATATTATGCGGAAAATCAGAGATATTTGTTATAGTTTTCATTACTTCATTACTACAAATGATACCTCCGCAGGGTTTGTCATGCTGTTATATCCTTGTATTGACAATATATCATAACTAATCCATTTTCCTGAATCTGCTAGATTGACCAGCATTTTCCAATATATTCAGTGGCCATTCACTTTCTTAGATAAGGGCGAACAACTCTTTTGAGGATAGTATCATTTGTATGTGTCTACCTTGATCGTCCATATAAGACGGTTTAGAACAAACAATACTAGAAACGAGATTTTATCACATTGTTTAAACACTAACATAATAGTTTTATATAATATTCCTTAATTTATTGTAACGTCATCGAATGTATGTGTCGTCAAAATATAGTATCCTTGCCACCATGTACTTTGAAAATGTGTCCTAATGGTTGAGCATGTGAAACTTTATACTGAAAGCGCCAATGTTTAGAAGACGTTATCGTTTGTGCACCTTTTTCAATATCTTAAACAAGAGAATGTGGAAACATTTTTTTATTACCAACCACATATACGCCACCACACACATTCTTACACCCACCACCTCATCCATATACATACATATATGTATATCATATTTACATTATTCACATTATCCAATTATATATTTCATTGAGTTGTTATGGAAGGCCTCCCTATTCACATTGATATTTCAAAACATAATTGGTTCACTACAACCACGTGTCTGTCTAAAGTCGAATGGACATCTAATGAAGTACCCGAATGAATAATGCGAACATTTTTTTTTATTGCACATCTGCTTCACCTGGTGAATAGATATTTGTTTCCTTGTTGTTAACTCTGGGGAGGTGAGGTCAATATGCAGTTGTCTCCTATAGTCACTTCTCAGGTTTTTCTTTCACGGCATTACCTGAGTTCTTCACTTCCTGATCTGTCCCCAACAACGGCAACATACGGAATTGTGTAGTACGTTTTGGAGTTACATCTTCAATAATTCCTATGATTTACTAAAACATATTTGATTTTTTGAAAGCAAAAATTCACATGTGGATCCAAAGTATCGCAGATCTCTTCATTGGAATTATATCGAGAGCATACTTAAACCAATTTCAATAAAGATTTGGTGTAGAGTTCCTTTGAAGTAAATTATCAAGTATGAATTTCATTACTCTTGGGTATACTGTAACCAAATTAGGTTTCCAATAATAATGTATTAAGTTTACAAAAATCGCTGTAAATCGCTAACTTTCGTACACGTGATACACAACGGCCAACCAAGATATTTTGTCATATTGAGATTTGCAGATCAAATTCTACATAGAAATATAAACGACTACGTCTAAAAGTTTTATATTGAGGGTATATAAATCACTTCATGACACACTGTGATCTTCAACGCATTTTTGACCATTGGCAGTTTTGACATGGTCTAGTTCATTTTCATCAAGTGACTCCAATACCTGGAAAACAGAAAAAAAAATGATATCAAACAAGTCTGCTAACCTGATGATTTCAGAAAGTGAGGTTGAACTTGATATAAAAGCATAGATAACGGAATAACACATACAGATATCTGGACGTGACTGTTTCGTATATATAATCTAATTATGTTACCATAGTTTTATTTTATGTGCAAATAATGGTGTTCTTGACAAGGATTACTTTAAGGCTAGTACTAATGCGAGTCATTTAGAAAACACGTTAAGCTATGCGGAAAGCAAAGTCATGTGGTCATATTGCTTTTATCTATGTATTGGAGGTGCAAATACTTATATACGCTCGATTCTTAAAATTCAAAGAGAACTGAAGAAAAAAATCAAACTGCAGTCTTTTGTCATACCAATGATCCGCCAAAAAATAGCATCACCGGTTGTGTGATAAAATATTTAGAACATAATGCCTGTTCATTCGTGTATCAGACTTACGTCATCATGTATTGATAAATGGTTATGGACACCACAGCGATATTTTCTTCTAAACGATTTCGGAATACAGCAACACAACAGGTCACCCACAGGAACAGTAAGATTTTTGTCAACAGGATCCGATTCTTTGTTAAAATATAAAACACATATATCTGAAATGTTACTAATTCAGAGATGTACATATGGATAGAATCAATCTATTTCCACACATAGTGTCTTGTTGAACCAGCTTAACCATATGAATTGTTCTATATAATACATTTTACGATGACATACTTGTGTTAGATTTTCTAATATAGTAATTAAGAAATTCTGAGATAAGCTTTCTATACAGAAATCCCAATAAACTAACACCAAGTATGGGCACGTCAAAATACACAATATATCGATTTAGTATAAAACAAATTGTGTATAACTCATGGAAACTATATCTCATTAGTTTCACTTATAAAGCATCAGAGAGAATATTGAGTTACTTACTTCTAAGGCGACTGATAAGCGATCCTGCTATGAGAACAGTACATATACCGATTGGTCTCAGCCATTTATAGGAAATAGAATATAATATGTTGACACCTTCGCTACAAATAGAACTGGTTCATTAATTATAAACATCAAATTAAACGCGATATCTCGAATATTCGGTGATAAGTAAAAGATTGAAATATATAATTTGTAATTGTTCTGTTAATGGGTTTAATGATATATAACGAAGGACTCAGAAAACGTCTGAATTGTTGTAATATACTACATGACAGCACCTGACGTTTATTTCATGTTCAAAACAATAGAACAACATGTATTTGTAATACGTAAGTAATATGTCGTAATAATCTTAATTAAAACTTAAAAGCAGAGGGCAAATTCTGACCAAGACAAAGCTTCACCAAAGACAATGAGTACAAGGAGAATACGATTACGTGTATCAGAAGAAAATGATTCGAAGGTTACTTACGGCCCTGTCGAAGTGATGTCTGGAATTTGCGTCGATGTGAAACTCGAAATATCATTTGTTGTTACTGAATTATATACGTGGCTAGACAGCGTTGTATTGATGATGACAGAATTGTTAGGAAATATACAGTTTTCCATAGAAGCTGGTTCAAGTTTTGTATTCACACTGACTACATCATTTATGTATCGTCCGATCGCAAGCCATCCAACAAGTGCACAGCTCATACATCCACTAACCATGGCTCCCTGTAACAGATTCAATGAGCATCAGAAGTCATCTTCACAATATTACTGTACAATGGAAACAATCAAAAGCCTTAACTGTGGGAGTTGCAGAACACAACCCCTTATATAAAGCTATTGTTCCGATGTTAAGAGAAATATAAACAAGAGGAGGATATGATAATACACTGTCATGCACACGGATCAAGGGCAAGCGATACACAAACGAATAATTTACAGCAAAATACTTGCAAAAAAGGAGAATAAAAATATTTTGGAATATGATATTTCACTTAGATGAATTTTGAAATTTATTGTCATGGCTTTTGAATAACCATTATTGAAAATTCAGTAATTAAACCGAGTTGAATTTGACAAATCACCCATCACCTTACCAGTGTGTTCATTTGTGCCAGAAAAAAAAAGGTATTTATTATTCATATCAACGAGTTAGTGCTCGGACAAAACAGTCCAAGTAGAAACTTACTGAATGCTTAATAATCACCGAACTAACTGTCCCAGACATGAAGTAGAAACTTACTGATGACTAGATTATCACTGAACTAACTGTCCTGGATATGAAGTAGAAATTCACTAATGGTTTTCTTATTATTGACATCAGTATCTTACCAATGAATTCGCTCGTGGACAAAACAATCCAAGCAAAAATATGCCGATAACTGCTCCTCTCACACAGGAACTTGTAGTGCGGAATATCTGTTAATAATAAAGTATGATTTAATCCATCCAACGGGCAGAACTCATTGATATACGGAACTTAGCACAGATGCAGTCGTGAAAAATCGATCTCATGGCTTCATTTTATCAGGCACATTAGAAGTTACCACATTTCAAAATACGGAACAAAAGCAAGAAAAAGCTGCAACTAACTACAAAAAGTGTATTCTATCAGACGTTTTGGATCCCTGAAATGTGTTCTTTGTGTTGTTTGATTTATGTTGTTGAAACAAAAGGACAGTTAAAATAGCGTATGAATGGTCATCGCTTTGCAATTGTAAATCATCAATGTTTGTATCAAATTTCAATTGCCATGGCCGTTCCTTATGGCCATATACTTGATACATTGACCATAGACAACGTGATGTACACTGCATGAGATTCATTGGCACTGCTGCAACATACGGTACACTGACATTATAGCTTTATTCACACTTCAAATTAGACGCCACTGACAGCGGCATTGCAATAAAGTCACCAGATGCATTCAAGTTTTTAGACTTTTTGGGAACTTTACAGGATCTATCATGTTCGAACGATGTTGTATTCGCCTGCTCTCTCCATGTGGCGGCAAATTCATGTGGATTTAAACAAACGCTCCTGCTGACCTTTGGTTTCTAGCTTACAGGCATCATACAATTACTCATAAGAGAGAGATATAACACCTTTGAGGCCGTTGGCAGGCATGTCTGCAGTTCCTCAACACCTCGGCAAGAAATTAAAGTATAGCGAGAGAATTGGGGAGTGAATGGTATTAGCATCAGAAATATTTTACACTAGAAAATTGTCAAAACTAATAACCAATTATACAAAAATACTCCCGTCAATTTCTTTTTTTTTTCTAAATTCCTAAATAACGAGCGCATGCAGCAATAACTAATGTCGTGCAGATTGCCTGAAATATAATCATCCTTGTTCTTGTTCTACCTCATTCGAAACTGAAAGTTATCTTATTATGAGAGAGTTCCTTTCAAAGAAGGTGAATATACTGTTTAGACAACAATGAAGCGTACTTTGTGAAATATTCGTAAAAATCAAAGACATACGGAAGAAGAAATTGTTAAACTGGTCGAATTTCTTGCTAAGAGCATAGTGCTAAGATCTTACAACCGACTATTGCAATACCTATGGATGACTTGTTTTTGTTTTTATACGATACTGGATATATTTATGGAGATAAAGAGAACTGTCGGGAAATAGTCATAGAGACAAAATTAATATTTTAAATACAGCATCACATTACGTAATTTCCGCTTCGCATTAAACATTTAGAACTGCGAGAAGTTTTGTCTCGGTATCATTCACCAAGAACTAAAGAAATTGCTGTTAGTTAGACTAAACACGTAAAGAAATGCATAAAAACCATAAATGACATTTATCATTATATATCATTTATTGTATAAATCATCTAAAATGGCATTTCATTACTTAATTAACTCTATAAACTCAGTTCTTTCGTATGCGGTTGTAAAATGAGTGCACAAATTTAAAGTTGTATAAAAGCCTGAAAATAAACGTATTGAAAAGGGCGACAATGAGTTTGGCATTCAAACTGGTACTTAGAGTTTCTTGGTAAAGCCTTTTTGAGAAAATCTATTGGGTTGTCCGTTAGTCTAGTATATTTGCAACTGAAGCAACATATTAACCACATGTTCTAGGGAACTGATTGAAAACGGGGTTCAACTAACATGTTATGGACACAAATCACTGTATTGTGTACAGGATAGTTAAAATAGTATTTTCCTGACAGATTCTCGTCATCTCTATTGCAGAGAACAAAAGAATCCTCATCGTGCGTTGATACAGGCGTAAAGAAAAAGAAAAAAAGAAGACCCCGCTTGGGTGATTTGCATGCAATAACATGGACAAAGAAGGCACGACAGCTGTTGCAATAGCATTATTGGGTATTAATTTTTTAGGACAACTTTTCCTGTTTTATTGATCGAATCGTCCTTTTCACCCCGATTTATTACAAAGAACTAAAATGAAAGCGAAATCGATTGCCACCATTTTTATTTCATCAATAAAAAAGTGAAATGAAACCAGATGTTTACCTTTTTATTCGTGTATCTGGGCATGTTCTCGTGTCTAACTCATGTATCAATATTTATTATAAATGAATACAGTATTTTTAAACCAATATATATTGAAACAAAAAGCAATTACCTGTACGATTGGGCCTTCAAGACCAGAGACCAGGAAGGCAACGACAACACCAATAGCTCCAAACACCAGGACTTGAAATATAAATAACTACATTAACAAATAAATAGATCGTTAGCTTGTTAAAATCGTGTCCTTATGTAACCAACATAAATTCATAGAAAAATAAAGGTATTCTTCACTTGGAAATTAATTGCGTGTAAGTATCTTATTATATTTCAATATGCGAATTATTAAATCAAAGACAGTTTCCACAGGTAGGCATGATACATTGGCGTAACTGAATTGCAATACAAACAAGCATAATCTTTTATAATGTTTATGATCAATATCAATATGTTGTATCGTACCTGATACCTGTGTGATAATTGTAGATTTTGTATTAGACATAGGCTTTGTATGGGGCTTGATAATGTCCTCCCAAAACAATGCTGACAGACCACTAAGTGTCGAAGACATTGTGCTGAAATAATATCGAGATGTTATGTAAGATAGGTAAGTGGAAAATATAAAGTCATCAAAATCCCCTGTCCATGTTCATTTGTAAAATATAAACATTTAAATAGAGCAACATGGATCACTGGAACAGATATCAGCCAATACTAAGTAGTGATAGTAATAAGTGTACAAAGCAAGTTTCCTAAAAATTCCTTCATAAGATAATAGGTATTAAACGGAAAGCAGCATCCGAGAGTGATTTAAGAAATCAGGCACTCAGGTCACAGCAGCCTCAATAGATATGCGCGGAATTAGCTGTTAATCAAATTTGGGCAAGGAATTAAGGTAACAAGTGTACAAAACAAGTTTCATAAAAAGAAACATACCACTCCTTCAAAAGATGCCATGTGGAAAACAGCATACGGACGGACAGAAAAAGACATGGAAGGACTGTCGGAACCCATTTGAATATCGCCCGCCAACTTTATTTGGCGTGAATAATAACAGATCAACCTTTTGGTACTAACAGATCATGTCAAATAGGGAAACATTATCATTGACTGGGGATAATTCAAAGGAGCGGAAAAGAAAAAAATATTCCTTCGAAGTGGTAGGTCAGGGAAACCATATAGATATGCTCAAGTTCGCCTTCAAAGTGACTAGATGGTTCATATACTTCATACATATAATATATGTATCGACCTTCATTTGATTGTACATCCTTACCATCTAGCGTACCTATGGGGGATCACTAGTTCACCTTATTTCCACTGTAACATTACTTCTATCTCATCACATTTCTTTCTAACATAATAAACGCAGCCGAAATGTCACGTGAATTTATTGCCATCTCGCACAATCGTAGCTCAGTACAAAAACGCCTTACACTACTCATTTGTCTGATGTAGACGACAGTTAAAATCATGGAAATATCACACATAATTTTCTAACTGGATGTGTTATAAAACGTAATCAGATGCATCAAACTTTTGTAGTGCAATGTCTGATCTAAATTATCCACATCTTACAATAATGATTCATGCGCGGTGTCACTGTTACAATTATATCCCTTATCCTTTTTTACTGTAAGATCCCGGAGGGGTCTTAGGTCTTAGGAACCTGCACAACAGATTGAATATCAAAGCTGACGTGGTTATGTCCCTGGGTAAGTCACTTTACCTTCATTGTTCTAAACAACATGCAACGCAGGGATCTCATATTGTTCAGTGCGATAGTCACAACAACAGGGCTTCGCCTCACACGGCGACATCAATTAATTTACCTATTGCCAATTATCATTTCGTTCCATTTTGAAATTTCAAACGATTTCTCTTCGGCATTGAAATCAATATCAACGATATAATTATAAAGAAATATAACCACACCACATGTAGCATGACAAAATCGACCTCAGTTCATTTTGTATTATATCTTGATATTTTCTTACCTCAGTGATGCACTAAATATTGCTGCTAGGAATAGTCCTGGTAGACATGGGGTGTTCCTGAATATGTCAACTACCATTTGAGCAATTAACTAAAACCAAATAAAACATTTGAACATTTAAACTGACTTCATATTAACGAGCTGTTTATCAACAGAAAACGGCCAATCATTACTTTACTAAAAAAAAAACAAAATGCATCGTGAACATAAAAAAAAACAACAGATAAAGAACCAACATGTAAATAGAATTGTAATTCTCAGTCAAATTCGATAGAGATAAGGTAAACCATCAACAACAGAAAATGTTTTACGGAGACTTCAGAATAAGTTCAAGGAAAATAAGACCAGGTGTTCCGGAAAAGTGAACATCTTCTGCTTCATCGACACCTGCTTTGTTAAGCCAAGCCATATTTGTTTCTAATAATGATTTCTTTTTTATCTAAACAGTTTCAATTGTTCACTGTGTGATAACCATGGAGACGTTAGCAAGCGATCTACCATTGCCGCTCACAGACCCTTGAAATAAACAGAGAAGATTCAACTGTTAAAAGTCTGGAAAAATAGAAAGTAATATTAAACTTGCCTGGTTCGGATTATCCACCTCCTTTGCTTCCAAAGGATCACAGCCTTTTGCGTTATAGTACGCAAACAGAACGACTCCTTCCAGAGCGGCGATCAGGTTAGTTATAAGAAAAGCAAATGCCGTAAAGAGGTACATTCTGGAAGAAAGCATGGTACTTAGAAAATAAGTTATAAGAATATTTATCGAACTTCCAACTTTACGTAATTACGAATGTAAGTGTTCTAAACATTTTATTCATAATTTACATTTTTGCTTTTATGAAATGTGAAAATGTTTAATTATGATATTACTTGTTTAACAAGATAGACGATTGCAGATATGATGTTAATGGAAAAAAAACACTTTACAATCACGTATGTGCTACTATTTGAATTGCATAGTAAGGTGTTAAAACATGAATTTACTCCTATATGAATATATTGATAAGATTTAGTTAAAAACCTAAAATATCGTATATGACAATATCAATTTTAGTTTGTAAATGCATATCCCTTCTTTTAATATAGAAATATATTTGTAACATATGTTAAATAAATCATTTGATAAACGTCGTGAAAATAACTCTGAAAAAAGATTCACATGCTACGAAAGGATATGGATCAATCATCCATAACACGAAATGACAATTAAGGTCACGGAATCCCACTGGTATTTACCAGTCTCTGTTAGGGCTCGTACTAAATGTGTGTTTCGTAACAATGGTCACTGAATGTACAAGTAATTATTTATATTTTATACTATATTGCCAGACTATTTCTTGTATACAGACAACATGCGGTACTTATCAGTCTTTTCATCGAGTTATGTCCCTTGTTTATACAATAAGGTTGGAGTAAACGATATTTTGATGCATTGAATATAGCACAAATTTATTTTAATCATATATACTTAACACAGCCATAAATGTTGTTATCATGACCTTAACAAATTTGAAAACAAAAAATTTTGAATGTTATTTAATAGTTAAGAAATAAAACCTGAAGGGTGTCTGAAAAACTTTCTTAGAGAACGAATATTTTCCAACGAACCGTTTTGCTGACTTCACTGTTGGAGTAGCCTTAATTCTCAGAAATGACACCTGTGTTAGTGGTACCCCTAGACCAGAGATTGTGCTCCCGACAACGAGGCTCCAAAACGTCTGTCGAAGTGTTGGATCAGGATTGAAGCTATTTACAAGGGAAAAATAAAGCATATCTTTATCCTTATAGAAAATATTCTAATTAAAAGAATAGAGAACAAAAACTAATAAATGAAACCCACAGTCGGAATTGCACCTTACATACATAGAACAATGCGATCTCTGTTCGATGTATGGCGTGCATGCATGTAATATATTAAAAGTATAAATGCATGATGCTAAGATGACAGATATTAGTACAATCTTTGAATTCCTTTTGTCAAACTACTCACGAAAAACGTACTGATTTAAGCAATGTTAAAACAGCAAATGTAAAGAAAAAATAAAGTAGAAATGGATATCTCAAATGTTAGTTGGGGAATTGTTATCAAAATTCTTCAACCAACTTTCTTTAAAAACAAAACGAAATAGTTTGTAATTTATCTCTGGGCTAACAACGCTTTAACAATGTATTGTAAGAACAAATTATGCTGTGTGAACGATCTATAGAAAAAAAATGTAACACACTTGAAAAGATTCATACGCCCTTTGTCACTAAATGATGTCCATGTCGCCGCAATTCCTCCCGCATCAATGGTACCCTGATTGAACAGATAAATCATGGAAAATGTCAAGAAATAACACCTAAGAGCCCCATTTGCTTCAATTGATGTTGTTGTAAGTAATTAAAATCAGCAACAGTACACAAAACTTTAGTATGACCACAATATATGTATCAATGTTTGAAATCTAAAGCGCCCCAAACCCCATATGCAATGTAAAGTTGTATAGTTCACATCTAGGGTATATTGCATTGATGTTTCAGCATGATGACATCCATTAATTCAATATTACCTTGATTAGCAGGGCAAATATTCCACTAAACATCAAAACTGCTTGAACAACATCTGACCACACCACGGCTTGAAATCCCCCCTAGAAATGACAAATGTGTTGTTTTTACAATAGTTATTTATAAGATTTTATTTAAACAATATTGGTCCTTTCAAACCATAATGAAAGGTTTATTACATTATCGCTGCTTTTGCTATTACAACTAATATTGTTTCACCGTACAAAATATTGCATAATAACTTGTACCATACCTCTATAAGTCAAAGATACAATCTGGAATAGAGTATACATGTTATACAATTATCATTTCACGTTTTAATTTCCCTGAAGATAATATCATACTATGGTTTCCTTTAATATTGTACTTTTTTGTGTGGGACATACCAGTAAAAAAATTGTTTTCACAGTCATGTATTTCTTAGCAAACATGTATCATAAAATGTAAACAGATCACGAGCGAAATATGACATCATCGTGAATTACGAAAGCAAGCACTGAAATATATCAAATATATCGTAGCATACATGATTGTAAGCTTAAATAGCAATATGGTATGTAACACCGTGTATATAGTGTATACAGTGTTTTATATAGATCATCACTTATTACTGTAAACTCTTATTAAATATGGATCGGGTGTTACTTTATTTAGGTAATTTGTCGTTTGCTTCCTTATCCTAGTGGATTCACATTCAAATAAACTAATTAGTGTCCTCTCACGACCACAAACCCCCTTCCACTTGCCGGTTCCCGACAAACGGTGTTTTTCGGATAATACACTACGGCTCGAACAATTACATACGGGCAATTTGGACGTAACAGAGATGTACAATAAAAGTTCTTATTAGCAACTAACCTAACGTTCTAAATATTACACTTAACATTATAATGGCTTGATTTGTTTCACTGATTTAATAAAAAAAAACTTACTATGTATGTATAAACGACCACTACGACCATAACGCCGACAATGGACACCCAATCTGGAATTCCCGCCACTACAACACAGAAAAAAAAAACATTCATACAAAACGTGTGCTTATAACAACATTATCAATGTTAAGTTCATAAGTCAGCAGAACACTGGCGTTCGACGGCGAGACGGAGAACTTGTAACTAACTAACGTTCATAACGCTGGCTTGAAATATGAGTAAATTGATGTAAATCGACTTCCAGGTAAATTGTTTTAAAGTTTCCGGACTCGTAAACGAGTGTTTAGATGCAGAGAACATTTTAGTTTTGTTTTTTTGTTGTTGTTTTCTTTGGACCAACTTTCCTTCCTAAGTTCATTCTCTTAAGTAGTTGTTCGGCCAAATTGGTGTAAATTGCGAAATGAGGAGATTTAAGGTATAAGCCATCCTAATCACTTCTGTCCTGTGTGTCATATGTTCCTTTTGCACCCACTGTGCTACCATGAGGTCTAACCATGTCACCGTCACGTATTTCCTATGTATCAGAAGTAGGGTAAATAAATAATTTACTTTGTACATGCTGACTTCACCTTGAGTAAATATATTCGTCGCGCTGTTACGCAATCAGTCTTGTGTAGTATGCATAAAGTACATATGTTGGTCGCCCTGCTACATCCTGTGTAGTATATATCGCATCGCATGGAAAATTGCTGACTGTGGTTAGCAGCTGAAGAGAATAAGGGTATTTCTATCGTTTTATATAAGAAAACGAATTCTTACCCGCCTCCAGTGTCACTGCAGGAACAAATAAAACCGTTCCTAGATAGTTTAGCTGCAAAAATGTAAATTGTGATATAAACATTGATTGTCCGGTAATGCCAGATTATAAGGAATCATCAAACATGTAGCTTCCAAATTTACTGCTTCTCAAATATTCGCTAATTTTAATTATACCATTTCTTGGCAATATTGCATATTACAGTTGTTTTTATTTAAGATTGTAAATGACGCATTTAACATGAATATCCATCACAGGAGGAAGGCTGAACTATGGCAATATACTGTGTCAGATTGTAACGTTGTCAATCAGGCTTGTACGACACACAGAAAGACAAACCGACATGATGTTCAAATATTTCGTTACATGTATTTGAGACATGAATACTTCCCATCAGATGGGAGTATTAAAGATACCTACCCCTGAAATAATACTTAGAACTGTAGCAAACATTCGGATCCCATGTGACTTGTACCGTAGTTCTAAATACTGCAATAAGAATTATAGATAATCAAAATTCATGTTTCCTATTTTGAGTTCACAACTGCCATGTCCATGACGATGATAAGATGGTTATATATCTATTCAATATCAACTGTCTGTAGATCGGAAATACTAGTATTATTTGGCTGTTGATCGGGGTTACAGTATTACTAAGTATAATTTGGCTGTTGATCGGGGTTACCGTATTACTAAGTATTTGGCTGTTGATCGGGGTTACCGCATTACTAAGTATAATTTGGCTGTTGATCGGGGTTACCGTATTACTAAGTATAATTTGACTGTTGATCGGGGTTACCGTGTTACTAAGTATAAGTTGGCTGTTGATCGGGGTTACCGTATTACTAAGTGTAATTTGGCTGTTGATCGGGGTTACCGTATTACTAAGTATAATTTGGCTGTTGATCGGGGTTACCGTATTACTAAGTATAATTTGGCTGTTGATCGGGGTTACCGTATTACTAAGTATAATTTGACTGTTGATCGGGGTTACCGTATTACTAAGTATAATTTTGACTGTTGATCGGGGTTACCGTATTACTAAGTATAATTTTGACTGTTGATCGGGGTTACCGTATTACTAAGTATAATTTTGACTGTTGATCGGGGTTACCGTATTACTAAGCATAATTTTGACTGTTGATCGGGGTTACCGTATTACTAAGTATATTTTGACTGTTGATGGGGGTTACCGTATTACTAAGCATAATTTTGACTGTTGATCGGGGTTACCGTATTACTAAGCATAATTTTGACTGTTGATCGGGGTTACCGTATTACTAAGTATAATTTGGCTGTTGCTCGGGGTTACCAAGTATCATCTAGATGGATACCGTATTCGACTATATACCCTTAATTACCTAACAGACAAATTATTTAATTTAACTTAACAGAATAACAAGTTCAAAGAGGCAAACTTTGTTTGGGTCAGAAATAGTTAAAAAGGTAAGGTAGACGGTCAAAGAGGGAAGATTAATACTGTCTTTGAAAATTGTTATCTTTAAGTCGCTAAACACACTGACCAGGCAAACAAATACCTGTATTGCATTTAGTTACATTAGCACTTGTGTGAGCATTACACTTTAATTTATATAAACGCGTGATATCACGTTTCATCTGAAAAGGTCACGTAAGGACAGAGCCAAAGAAAGAAAGGGCACCTGGGAGTAGTTAAAAAAAACTTCACAAGTAGACTTACGAGCTTGGATATATATCAAAACTGAACATATCATTATGTTGATAATGTCATATTGCAGTATACCTTTGTATACTGCATTGTCATTTATATATTCATATAAACGTAAAAGGTAATTCTATTAATATTAAAAAACACAAACTTTATTTACTTTATAACAATTGCGAAACAAGTTATGTCAACTTATACTAATCACGAGAGGTCTTATTGTGGGAGGGAACCGGAGTACCCGGGGAAAACCCACGTGGTCGGGTAGGTGACCCTTTTATTTTTCTCGTCCGTCTCCGGTCGGCTAGGTTAAAGGCAAGTGCGTTACCACTGCGCCACCCGACCACTCTATTTAACCGTTATATTACTGGAAATTCTACACGATCTATCTATTTATTCGATAATGAAAACAATTACATATCCTAGCATCACACATGTTACATCTTAAAGTTTATTAAAGACACAACAAAGCGTTGACTACGAGAGGAAAGTTGTATAGCATCTAACCCTTCATTATGTATTGTAGATCTCATTGATAAAATATTTCATACCTTTAAATCTTCGAGAGATTTTGATTGCCTTGCTTTTTATTTGACTTAACCTATTTACCGACTGTAACAGATGTTAGAGTAGGCGGTCCGTAACAGCGTTGTTGTAACGGACATTAACTACTATACCTGCCGGAAATTGGAGTATTCTGTAGGAATAGCAAATAAAAACGAAATATTTTTTTCTAATTATTTTAATAATAGTTCTAATTAAACAAAATTCAATTCTGGGCGCACTAGAAAGCTCGATCACAGTGTCAGAATAGATTAGAGTTCTTGTTTAAATCTTAGCATGCTTATATCGTTCAAGGTAAATATCACGGTATTAATGAAACATGCATGATTTTGTCGGTATATATATAGTTGTTCATTACAGTAAAAATGTCTGTATATAAAACATGTGCGACCGTTGCTTTTACAAAAATGAATTATATCTATACGGGGAGAGCTCCATGATATTTATATTTCTCGACTGTTTCATACATTGCTTTACACTAAATTATATTTGTTTACACTGTTTTATACATTGTTCTACATTGTTTTAAACTAATTTACATTGTTTTACATTGGTTTAAATTTGGTTACATTGTATTACATTTTTTACACTAATTTATACTGATTTAAATTTTTACATCTTTTACATTGTTTTAAAATTTTACATTGATTTAGAATGCATCTGACAGTGTCTTCATTCTGATTGTATTGTTAGAATATGAACCGGAAAAAATACATTAAAAAAGTGAATAATAATAATAAGATATGCTATTTCAATATGAGAAATATAAGTAACAGTAGGATTTTTTTAATATAAAAAACCTATATGAGCTAATAGAAAATGTAGATAAATATTAATGAATATTGAATATTATTTATGATTGATTTCTTTGAGAGATGATTGTGTTGACATGTTGACCAGCCCAGAGTCTTAATGTCCTTAACGTGCTCGTGTAAGTAATTCGAAATGAAAATTATTATCATTTTTGAATGTACACAATTTTGGAAAATGTCGGCAGATCAAGGTTATGTTTTCAAGTTTTTGTATATACGACATCGATATTTTGATGGCGATAATATATCAGGCCGATGCTTAACTGATTAAGTAATGATATGAAAAGTACCTCAAATATACTTGTAACCTCCAATCTCTTCAGTGTAGGCACCAAAAGATGTCGATTCAAAAGGTCAGCAAAGAAGTAACCAAAGTTTGCCATATACCACTGCATACCATACATGTACACTTCCGCCGGAACACCCAACATCGTGATGCCTGATTCATAGGAAACCACTAGCGATATTGCCACTGGAATAGCGGCCATTTGTCCACTGCCCAATAAATACTGGGAAGTTGTCTTGTGTTTCCTTCCTTTCAAAGACTGATAAAGACCAACTCCAAGTGACGTCATCACTGCTAATGCAATGATAGCATAATCCTCCCATTTCAAAAACGCCATTTCAGTATAAACCTTTAGTTATCTGAAATAGGTGGAAAGAAAAGAGTAAGCAACATTTTTATCATGATCATTTTGCGTCTACCAACGAACTCGGACGAAAATCTTTCATTGTGTTGATGTTATATCACTCACTAACGTATTTGTACAAAGTTGACATTTGAACATAAACCTAATTCGATGATGTCCTAATATTTACGACGCAAAAGATTTCAGGAACGGGTTGGTTTTTGTCACAGAGGCATATCAAATTATATGTGTTGTCATTATAGCCTGAAATAAAGGGTTAAGAATGTATACAACACTTCCGTGTGAAGTCTATGTTGACGCATCACCTTTTGCTTAGAGAATGGAGCAGTTACCCCGAGAGCAATGGTATATATGGAAATAAGATGTTGTTTACCTGAACTTATATCCTATTTCCAATACCCGAATACGTTTTATGACTTTTCAAATGAATATATGAATATTTTAAACAAATGTTATTATGATTGAAAACGGGTGATATTATTGCCTTAACACCTGCACGAGTAATACAAAGGGATTTCAGTTTTACACCATGCGGAACACTGACGTCGATATCGACTTTTTAAACGTACAACATTGTAAATCAAAGCTATTGATTCGTTCATTGATAGAATAAATGCAATCAATTTTACTTTAAAATGTTTCTGTAACCTAGTCTGTAGAGTTTAAGTAATCGATTTGTTTACATTACACCTATCTAGGTAACCAGCATACTTATTGGATTTAAAATATAACATATGAGTGTCGTCACACTTGTTTAAAGGTTGCACTTTGTCAAATAATGATTGTAATATTCCTCCATATGTCACGTGAATTTGCTTTAAAAACACAGCTATGATGAGGCGATAGTTATTTACTAAACCAGTGTGTACAGGTGACAAGGTAGGACATGATAAGATCATTCAAAGGCCGTTCAACATATCGGAATATCGGAATATAAAGTAAACCTGAAACAGATACTGGTAGAAATGCAGGCAATTCACGTGATTAAGTGTCTGTTAATCCTGTGTAATCGGGAACAGGACACACAACTAAACAGTAACGGCAGCAGTTTTGGTAATATCAACGAAATATTACAAAATAGGTTGAAACTGAATTTCATTCTATATAGAACAGTGACAAAACAATGCATAGGTGAACACCTAGGATTCTAAAATATATGTACTTATATCAATTAATCTCCTTATTATTATAGCCTGGCGGTAGTACGGCACATCAAAAACTTAATTATGAAAATCGTGATGCAGCAATTACATGAAATATATAAACAACATTTTGTTTAGCAATAGAGGTATTTAAGAATATACTTGTACTATGTAAACAGCTTATAAGTTTTAAAAGTAGTATGCTAGTAACCACAGTAAGATTACCTTTGAAATAAGAAGTGTCTCCTTGCTAAGCATGTGTTCCTATCGCTTTCAAATTAGAAAGACTGACTGTCACAACTCACAAGGTCGTCGTGATTAAGTGTCCAGCTGTGCTAGGTTTAGCAACACGGGATGGCCGACCGAGCTACTCATATCTACATGCATAAATCAATCGTTAATATGTCATTTGCCCGTTTAATAACGAAAAACCATTAATGTTTTTAACTATTTTAAAGAAGATTAAAAACAATATCCAAACAGGAAATAAAGCGGCAATAAACAAAATCGGGAAACATTAGCAGGTTGCGCTTGGCAACAAGACGACGCCATTTTAAATAGACTGCTTTACGTTGTATTTTACCATTCTACGTTGTTATTTAGTAAGAATCATTTTAATGAAAAACAAACTTAATGAATTTATTTGTCATTTGCGTCCGAGCAAGAAAATTGAGCAAGAATATTGGCGAATTCCAATGCAGTAAATAGAAAGCATCGCTTTGGTATGTCGAAACCACGAAAATAATTTCATCACTGGAAAAGTTTTATCATAACTAGTGACGATATAAGATTTCATCAAATTGATTAAGTCCTACATTTTACCAACAAAAATGTTATAAAAAAATCTTAATAAGAGAAAGTAGCCCTGGTCCACAACTATGACTATCATATGAGGTTAATACACCAAATTGTTTAAACATTCAGACACTTGGCCTAATCATCGCTACTACAGGAGAATCCAATTAGCGTTATCCGTGTTTGTTTTCCGCGTTAGGAAACCAATAACAACTTTCAACACAATGTAGACCTGTACTTCTAACTTTCAATATCACATGGAGGTGAATGAATGCAAGAAAGGAATAACGAAGGTGTGTGATGAACCTGGATGGTCAGATCTTATCCAAAAATAAAAAAAAACCGACACACTAGAAACAGTACTATTAATTATCACACTTAGTAATAACACTTGGAGTGTCACACTTCATATCTGTAGATACAGTACTATTAATTATCATACATAGTACTAACACTCGGGGTGTCACAATATATACATTAGATACAGTACTATTAATTATCATACTTAGCACTAACACTCAGTGTGTCACACTTTATATCTATAGAAACAGTACTATTAATTATCATACTTAGTACTAACACTCGGGGTGTCACAATGTATACATTAGATACAGTACTATTAATTATCACACTTAGTACTAACACTCGGATTGTCACACTTTATATCTGTAGATACAGTACTATCAATTATCATACATAGTACTAACACTCGGAGCGTCACACTCCATATCTGTAGATACAGTACTATTAATTATCATACTTAGCACTAACACTCTTAGCGTCACACTATATATCTGTAGAAACAGTATTATTATTACCGATTGTCATACCATCGGAAACATTAAATAGCACAGTATAAGAGAAATAGATATAATTTAATACAATTCTAGAGGAATATTACACATATGGAATATTTATAAGAACTTCCATAACAGAGTAAGCGAAGATGAATATGGATTGCTTTGTGTATTTTTATCAAATATCAAATTGTGAACTTGCTGTGTTATTGTTACTTTTCCTTTTCGTAACACAGACGATTATCTTAATTATAAGTTTCTTGATAAATTGTGCTTAAACCACCATCAGTGATAACCAGGTCAGACAGTAGGTAGGTAATAAATAAACAACAAAACTCAATCAAGTAAAAGGTCCGAAAAGACCATGGGTGATATAGAAAGAAAATAGCATTGACAACTTTCTTTAATGATCCCTTAAATTAATGTTTAAATTATTAGATTAATAAAAAATCAGCATCATCTTCTAAAATATTTTATTACATGTAGAATATGATATTTCAAGTTTCAATTTAATATTATTAATTAGAAATATGATAACCGTACCATATGTTACACGCCGAACGAAATATTCATATAGTTTGTTTCAGCAAAAAGTAGTTCCTTTTAGTCTAAGCAACGCTAGTGTCTCTGGTCTCTGTTTCTATTCCTTTCACCTCTTGATAAGTCATTGCCACTTGGCCTGAAGTGGGACACAAGTAACCGACAATGTTGTTGATAACGTCTCATTTCTTAGTCTCAAATTGATGTGTTAAAGTTATTGACTGCAATTAAATGTTCATAGTATTTATATTTCAGGCTTGAGACTTACGAAGAAAAGTTACTTACAAGAACAACAAACAGAATAATAATCAATAATTGATAGTAATTATTACTAACAAAACGTCAGTCACAAGCATATCAGAAATATCGTCATAAATAAAGTATATCCAGTGGGTTGGTTGTAGTATTGACGAAAACTGAATCACTTATACAACAGTAACTATTCACAGATTTCATAATCATTAGTAAAAATTTAGAAAAGAGTTTTCTAGCATAGTTATATCCGTGAAATATCGATTTTTGTGAACAATATAATTGTAACTATGTACAAAGTGTAAGTTTTAACAACATTTAGATTTAGTTCATGGGACTACTGATCTCCCCAACAAGAGTTTTATTTTTCTTTCGATCACTTTGGACTTTCCTTAGTTTCCTCACAGGCTTCAAAGTGTAGGCCCTTAGCACCTTTGACTAGTACTAGAAGGCTAAATATCTCTATGATAAAGTTTACTTCATTGTTTGGCTAAACTATATCTGACACTAAATCCTTAAATAGTGAAATTAACTTGTGCGTCTTTTGCACAATCTTATAAAACCAGAAAACATTATGAAATACAAACATACACTAAATAGTCTAGCAAAGGATGTCTTATATTTATATATATGTAGATAATTAACTTTTCCGTTGAAACTGTTTTGTGAAGGTAGGTAGTTCATATCTTGAAGCATATTAACATACACTTTTGTTTTAATCAATTATATTTAGAAAAAACATCACAACATTGACGTTTGTTGTCACACATCATGATATATAACAATTATATGTCAATATAAAATTGGCTGTAACCTGCATGCCACGTTTTCATTTATTCATATAGTGGCTTTTAAGTATATATATGAAATTGACATTGAAATAAAATGATCTGATATAATGTTTTGACATATATTGAAGTATGGTGCTAGTGCACCACTCCACTTAGATTCTATCATTTCTTCTATCACTTTGGATTTTTCTTTAGACGCATTCCAGGTTTGACATCTAGCCCCTTAGCATCAATGACGAGTCTTAGAAGGACGAAACAGCTGTATGATGCAGTTTACGTCATTGTTTGGCTCAACTGTATCTAACTATTATTTTGTATTGAAAGGTGCTATTCATTTGCGTGTCTTTTGTATAAGCTTTATACTACAGGGACATACAGCTAATGAAAATGATTAGGAAGATTTACATTGCTTATAATTATCTCATTTAGAAAAATTATATACATCTATGCGATATCAAGTTTGATGCTCGATTGTGTACCTATTTGTCCTGTTGTTAAACGTATTCTCACTTTGCATTGACCAATATTGATATGGTGGATACCGTCGTTAAAGTAGAAGACACTTAATTTTCCGAAACATTTGGTCTTCTTGTACTTTTTAAGTACGATCCGTGTGAATTTTTTGGGTGATCATATTTTGCCATACTTTTATTGATTTTGAGTTTGAATTACGATTCTATTTACAATGAATCACAATTCTTTTATGTGTTATATTGAATTAGGTAAATGTTTTTTCATTATTCTTAGAATTTGTTAAGACGAGAATGAAAGAAGACAATGCTTCCTTATCGTAAGTTTTGTACATCAACATTGCTATTATCAGTATTGTTCCTTCTGCATCAGAATATCTATATTGTTACTTGTTACCTTAAATTATTCTAAATCTACTTGAAATTCTTCTGAAATTATTCAATATTAAAAATCTTTATACTCATTGACTATTAATTTATTGTTTAACTGCTCCATCCCGTCTAGTTTTACAGTAAAAAGTGCGCCTGTGTTCAAAAGACGCCTCGGGGAAACAGTACGTTCGAAGGGAGTCCGGAAAACGTCCCCTTTTAGTTACAACATCAACAACGTATGATTATCGTTGTTCGATCGTTATTTCTCAATTGTCTGTGTGACGTTCGCTATGGGGGTTGATGTTGAAGAATATACAATTTCTTTGGTAAAACTGACATTCAATAATTCAATAAGAAAAACACTATGTTTTGCGTTTTAATAACAAGTCAATTGCTTGATACGAGCAGGAGTTATTAGAAAATGACAAATTCTTGAATAACTGTCGATGAAATAGAATTTCAGATCGGAATATGATTATGTTGACATGTTAGTTTTTTCTTGATATGTTTAGTGTGAAACACTTGTGCGTGCCGTAGCAGAATCTTCTCATTCGATGGGTGACCATCTAGAAAAGCTGACGGAAGACATACCATCTGACAATAACATATAACCGCCGACAACTGTATCGAAGACGACAAATTAGAGACGTTGAGTCAATTCAAATGAAACACAAAATCATCACGAAAACAACTTCTAAGCTTCTCGAAGTGTTGGATGCCTCCAGATGAAAATCGCAATCCGAAAGAAAAATGACGAAATCATTGCGAGAGTAAAAACATTCCATTGGATTTTATTTTTCTTTCCTGGCCATATCTGTACACCGATAGATATCTTAGCAAACTATCCATTCTCCTAATATGCTGACTTTCTATTCTCTGTAAAGATAACATTTATTGTAGTTTTATTCATGTAAACTGTTTACTTTCTGTCTATGGCATGGCGACATTGGGAATGTAGTCATATTTGACTTAACTGTTGTACGACAATGAAACAAAAGTCCATATCTCACAGCTCACATTCGCTCACATCCTCTAACGGCGCATAGTTACTGACACCTGACGTGAATGAAATCATCGTATGAGTTGAAAAATCTATAATGTAGTTTGATTATATGTATATATGTGCATTTAATCTGTCGTGTCTTCTAATTAATTTCTAAAATTTGAATCTTTTGAAACTTGCATGTGTTTTGTAAAGTCATTCTGCCAATATGCTGTAGATGTGGTCCTACTGATACATCTCTCTGTTAATATAAAACACTTGAATGTGTAACTAAAATGATATTACAAAACACGCCTAGGTGTACATCTTACGATCTCTCGATATCATAGACCTCTCAACGAAACGTTTTCATACCCTTTGGAACATCAGTTTTAGATAACATATAGATATAATAAACATATTAATGTTAGTAAATATTATCTATAATTAATACATGTTGATAAATATTAATCATATTGTTCTAAATCTCTTGGCAACAGATGGCAAATGGAAATGCTAAATTCAATATATCAAGCAGGAAATCAGACACAAATACAGGTGTTTTAATATTAAAGATATGTATCCTGTCACGTCTGCTTCTAAAATGACCTTTGATCATCGGCTGATAAAATATTTTCAATAGAAATAGCAATTTTTAATTCACATGAATAACAGAATGTTATAATTAGGTTGTATGTTAGTTCATTAATGGGAAATCAAATTAAAGATATTTAATGGACACATCTGACGTACCTCTACAAAGCGTGTTACATGCTGATTTATAAACAGTTTTCTCAGTAGAACCCTCATTCCTTTGTAATAAATATTCTTCAAAATCAACATGTATTTTTGGCGAAGCCTATTATGATATTGATATTTTGAATTAGGCGGTTCGTAATTAAAAGCCACCATATGTTAAATTCTGTAAAACGGAAATAAAACAGTTCCGATACAAACACTCTGGAACGATGAAGAATTGTTAAAAAGTGTTTTTCCTGAAATAGTGTAAGTTTATGGATTTTCTAACTTCTGATTCATAAATTATCCACACAAGTTTAAATTGTTTGTTGGCCTGCCTTAGCTCAATGCAATTACAGCTTTGTCCACGGCACTGTTTTATTTTGCTAATTTCAATAGTCTAGTCTGTATGATCCTGTGAACGTTGTTTTAACCTTTTTGAGATTTGGTTTAGTTTAACACATGATTATAATGTGATCTTTGTCTATTATTTGACGACACATGTTCCTGTTTGATAAGGCATGGAATCCTACTCCTTGTAGATGACTCTTGCTCATACTTCACCATTTCGGCAAACCCCTATGTTTAGAGTGCGTCTGTCAAGAGGGAAATGTAAGGGAAACTGATTTCTGTCAGATATTTGTCAAGGCATACACATGTTTTTTCTGTTCTAGTTTTGAGCTAGCTTCAAGATGGTGTTTAGGGATGATTAATTGTCGTCGATATGTAAATGGACAGAAGCACACAAGATGTTCTAATGCAATGGTCTAACGATATTTCAATGAGACGACAGATAAAAAACGGCATTGAATGGCTTCATTATTTGTAGACTTTTCCCGAAAATGATAGAATTTAGGTTGACAACATCTTCAGTAAATTGGTTGTAAAATCTCCAAACACACTTTTCGCATACCAAAGGAAGCAAACCATGCTCCTCTCCTGAATTTAATTTCATACGACCCTGGATTTTCCAAAACGCATATGAAACAAACAATAAAACCATCTCGGTGTCTTATCTTCAAGGATTGAAGAATATATTGACAATTTATATTTCATATTTAACCACCAGGCAGTATTGGAAACCAAAGGTTCGACAGTTTCATCAGCTGCTAACCTCGATCTTTTTCTACAGTAAGACCAGATGGGACAGCTTTCTCCAAGGCGTATGCTAAGTATGCAGCTTTTGGTTTTCTTATTGGGAAGTTTCCATTTTTAGCTAGTTACCTAGCTTCCCAAACATGTTAACATGTCTCATTCATATAATATGATTTTCGTTACAGATGTCGACAGCAAACAACCAATAGATATGTAGATAATGAAGTTAAACGAAAAGTTTAATATGCCTGGTGGTTTCGATCTTGTGAATTTTCTCCTCATTTTGGGTCTTGAGATTAATTACCTGGTTAACTAAGATTTCCGTCGATCTCGATTAAGAGGTAGAAGTATCTATCCGCAACATTTGGCTTATCCTATTCGTACATTTTCGGTGGTTTCCTTATAATTCCTACTTTTGTGTATGTTTTGATATCAAACTATATATTTTTGAGTAAGGATTATGTTATTTTTAAAATGTCGCCACTTCCCTGTATCATTTGCTGTTGAAAGGACAGTATACTCAAAGCAATTTAACTTGCATTGATCCGTACCTAAACGTCACCTATGTTCTACCTAAAATGTAAGGAAAGAAAACTCATTAGAAGGAAATATCCTTGTATACAGTCGAACCGCATTATCTTGAAGTCGGCGGGACCGCGGGAAAACCTCGAGACTGTATTAATATTTAACCAAGTTGTTGTCAATGCTATTTAGTTGAAATCAGTATCAATAATGGCGCTTTGCAGAGCAGCATCTTGCCAAATGGCCGCTTTTAATTAGGATTTCAGTTAATTCAATATATATATCAATACTATTATGTTTAAGGAGGTTTGTAAATAAATGCATATTGAGATTTACATTGTATTGGTTCAGGCACTATTCCATACTGTTCAGGTCACAGATAGGCCACTTTTCCTGTTTTAAATGATTCCACTCCTTTCTCTACGATTTCCATAGTTAGAAGGCACTCTTCCTTCTTTATAAGTGGTGTATCTTTTCCTGCAATAGAGAAGAGATTTAATGAAAGGATGCTACGTTACCCTGTGCCATCCGATAAGTATTTGCTACGTTCTCCATGTCGATAATATGACATGCTATAAAGCGTGTACAAGGTTCAATTCGTTGTAATATATTGGCGGTATTACTGTTTTATTCTTAATTTCTGAAACATAAGTAACAAAACATTGCATAGATGCTTTGAAGTTAAAGCAATAAAACAATACATCAAAACAAAACATGTAAAAGATAGTTATTCGCCAGATTATAAATTTCAATGAAATACATACTATAGGTATGCTTACCATCCAAACAATCTATGAAGTGGTCGATTTCTTTTTCAAAAGCTGCCTCAAATCTTTGGGGGAAAGAGTGGTACAGCTTGTTCAGTTTTCCACCTTGTTGAATATCAACCAAGGAAGCAGATACCCTTGGGTTTTCTGCCATCGCCATACCTTCTGTTCCGAACATCTGTAAACGTACATTAATAAAAGAAAAATACAACTGATTTGTAAACTTTTCGTCCCATTTATAGCTACGAATAAGTCATATAATAACCATGTGGATTTAAATGTTGCTATTGTGAATTTGCCGTGCCCATTATCACGAATTTCGTGCAACAAGTCATCAACTGGATGGACAAAGTCGTGACGCAGGGTTTCAAAAGACGATCTTGTAGAGAAATAGTCATCTCATTGAGAAATGCTCTATATCTTTGTGCGATATGAAGTGTTTGGTGCTTGTTAGTGTGCCTGTTGTTCCATTGTTATGCCGTGTTCTCATTTGAAAACGCGAAATTACTTACATGGATTGACCAAGGTTTACATGGTGGGGGTCGTCAGGAACACCTGGGCCTGTATTCATGAAACCATTCTCATGCTCAAGCATAGATTTTGTGCTCAAGCAAACATTTTTATAATTCACCTAAATCATATGAAATAACACAAATGTCCAATATAAACATTGAATATAGCTTTGACTTGAAGTCCTTTCATTTGTTTTTTAACTCTTCTGCAAAATAAGCCTTATCTATTAATTTCTAACTTAAACAAGACATAAGGTTGTGCACAAAATGCATGCTTGAGCCTGAGAATGGCTTCATGAAAAAGGGCCCTGGTCTTATTCTTCTTTCATATTTCGTCCTACTTTTATTGACATTGCGTTTGGATTATGATTTGCTGAAATGTTGGTATTTTCTTATTGTTTTTTCGTTTCACTAGTATACCACCTTTGTGTCAAAATACACGGTATATCTTTGGATAGATATAAAGTTAATTAGATACAAAATCACTTACCTCTATCCGCATATCGTAGCCATACGGCGATTCTCTATCAGAATCTATAATCACCAATAATCCACTTCCGTATTTCAGCGCCATGACAGCAGAATCGGGTTGACCTACTTCTTTCATGATCGGGTCATGCATATGAGACATTGTATAGATAGAAACTGGTCGCTCTGCAGAAGTTAACCAAACTGTCGTATCTATATCGTGGACAGCCATGTCTGATATCAAACTACATCCGCTTACATCTGGAATTAAACAAAGTGTTCTTTAACTCATAATTCTAACAAGTTGCTTGATCTTCCGACACACCTAGTTTTTTTCTCCTTTTTCAGAACTCACCCCCACCCCCTCCCCCTCCTCCTGTTAATCTTTTTAGTCCACATTTTTAAAGTTTGCTTTATTGTTTGAATTATAATTAGGTTTACATGCTGGTATTTACTTGCTGTTTTTCTAATGTAGAGCTTCATTAATGCTGTGAAGTCCATTGCTATAGACCTGGACACCATAGCAAATACCAGATATGACAAAGTTAATAAAACACGATGGAATTGCAATCACAATTTATACAGAACATGGGATATTTATCATATCGCAACTGGAAATCTGACCCCAGCTATAGGATATAGTTATTTCAGGATGATCTCGTAAGTGAAACAGTGGTGGAGGCTTTATATTTCAGTTTCATATATTTAGCAGTGTCTACACAGAAAATGACAAGAGAACGCGTTAATTCGCTCTACTTGGTAAGTGGAGATCGCATAACATCCTGCAGAAAATGCTTTTCGTTATGAATTTGTTCAATGAGTCTAAGATTGATGAACAAATCTGGTAAAACTTTCTTAGGGCACGTCAGTTAAGAATACTAAATTCATGTTTTATATCATGACTTGTAAGATATTTATGTGTGAAGTACCGATAACTACACTGTCACCTTCATCAGACATATTTTAATATTCAGCAATTTTAAAAACGAGGGAGTACCAGATCGTAATTAAAGCCTATAATGTTTCAGTAATAATATGCGGGTGACGAGATGGCGATAAGATTATAGTGAAAAAGAGGTCGAATCGATGATCTGTCTTATGTACATTATGCGATAACCATGCAATTTTACGTTACTCTTTGTTTAAATCCTGCTCATAGATGTGCTATAGTCTATTCCATACTTTGTCCATTCATGTTAAACAAAACTTAACCAAACTGGCTTGAATGTGGTAGTTCATTAATGCCTGTTAATGTAGATGTATTTATAATAAATCTCCTATAATTGTTGTAATATTATCGTCATCTCGTCACACTGGTTTCACCTTTAGTTAAAAGGAGTATGTTATGGGGTGTGATATATGAACATTCATTCAATAAACTCTCATATTCTGTCCGTTATATCTGCAACAAATGATAATGTAAATCAAACTGATAGAATACCTGTATTTTTCAAAAACTCATAAGATGGTTTTGGAGAATCTCGGCCGGTGACTCTCAGGAATCTTAAATTTCCAAGGGCTTTACTTCTAGACGCCTGAAATACTTCTTGAAATGTTGTGTCGAATCTCCTGTAAAAGATAAAGAATAATTTCAATGTCTAAGGACGTAACGAAAAACAAGAAAATACCAATATTTGTCAATATCTGTCAATTACTTAATATCATTGATTTTTTTAGTAATTTATTATATATCATAACTGTTGTTTTCAGTACATGTATATTTGTGTGAATGTAGTGTGAAAGTGTGACTTATTTCCCTTTACCTTCTATGACATGCCTCAATTGAGTTTGTGCTGAATATTGTGTTATATAATTCTCGTATCAATTTGTAAAATCTTGATTATTATGTTCTGGTCTAGCCATTATATGGAGAGAATTTATTCAAACTGTGCTTGTTGTCCAATCCTAATAGACTTTTAAGATCTTAACAATAAAATTTGTTGAAATGAAAAAAAAAAATACAAAAAATGTGAGCATAATCATAATCCAAGCTGGTATTCGATAGACCGAGGAATGAAAACGAACAAAAGGATATAAACGGAAACTCCTGACAAAAAAAGTACAGAGAGAATAAACTCAAGTGTTCAAGAAGAGTAAGCGTCTTCTGAATTATCGACAATACCTGTTATAATATTGTAATGAGGCAATGTATCGATTCTCAAACAATCCTAAACATTATAGTAACTAAGGTATCTGCTGTATACGCATCATTTTATATGCATAATGGAAATATGATATTTCATTATTTCGAAAGCGAGATAATTTGTTAACCCCGCAGAATAGACCGACATTTTGACTGAGAAATAAATGTTAAGTTTGCTAGTTGTTACGAGAATATACTGTAGATGTAAAGTTTTGCTTTTATAATGGTTTTATTTATCTTATACTAAACAGGAAATAGTGAAGGCACTAAATCGGTTTCACCCAGAAAAACAACAAAACCTGTCACATTTTCAATCTAGCGGTTTGTAGCGTCAGTTCATGTATCGGATTTCATTTGAAGTTAGATAAACATATGCTAAGAATGGTTAATATATCCTGGTTTACGTTTCCCGCGTGCCTTTGTTTCTATTTTTCACTTGTTTTATTGAATTTGAGTTTGAATTATGTTCACATGTTGGTATTTTCTGGTTGGTTTTTTTTGCTTCTATGTCAGAATGTACATGTAATATCACGTTCTCAAAAAGAGATTTGTGTTTATTACATATGTCCGCAATGAACCCATTCTTACCTCTGAAAGCCTGTGAGGAGAGGTTTGTTAACGTGTTCGGCCAAATCGTAACATCGTTTTATCTCACTGTATGTTTCTCCACAAGGCTTTTCAGTCATCACGGCTTTTCCTGAATTAAAGGTACTTAGAATTTTCAAAACTGTTGTTTAATATTTGGATATGCAAACTCATTTTACGTAGTGAATTGAAAGGGGTTATTTTCGTAATTTTTAAATCGTTCTTGTTCAAGGTAACATATTCTTTGATATTTTATAGAGTGTTTACTTATTATTACAACTGGGTTTTTGTCATACCTGAGAGTAGTCGATTTATGCACATTGGAACTACTTTTTCGGGTTTTCCTTCCTACAGATTTTATTTGTAGGATCGCCAAAACTAAGCGTATTGCCATTTTGAGATAAATTCCAAGTTATTACTTGGTGTGTTTATTTCTTAACATTACTATCTATTGGTTATTTGTTAAAGAGGTTGTATTTATTTTTTTTAATTCATTCCTTCATTCTTTTATTTATTAAGTTATACATTTTATTGTGGCGCTCGTGACGATCTCTTCGTAAACTGTGCAAAACGTGAACGTCATCTCCTATAATTATTCCGTATCAATATTTCATGACTAAACTAAATTTCGCGGCCAGAACATAACACATACACTCCTAAATCATTGAGCAACATAAAACCAACAAATCGTAGTCAACCTTTCCCTACTCGAATCGCTGCTTAAATGTTAAATTAATGATAAAAATCACAGGCTTTAACAATTTAAAAAATGTTCCTTTAAGACAAGTTAATACAAATGCGGTTTCACATTTTTAATTTTTTTGCTCTTTAAGACTGCACTCCAAATAAATCTTTATGTTAATATGTTTACATTTCTTTAAACATAAGGTTAGTTCTATCACTATTGTTTTTAATCTTAAATGATCTGGTAAGTAAGACATGAAAAAAACGCCTTCACCGTTACATGATTTCGTAGTGCATGCTATACCTACCTCTACTCAGACTCTCACAAATGTAATCAGCATGTGTATCGGTAGGAGTGAACACAAATACGGCGTCCAAGCTAAAATGTAGACGTTAATACATTTAAAAAAATATATAGAACGTTATTACCAACTTATACAGCTTAAGGTTAAATACACAATATTTACTAGGAAACTGTTGCAATAATGTTAAAAGAGAATAGGACATCGTGTTCCGGGAGGGTTAGTTCTCCGAGAACTTGTACAACCGCCAAGTAAATTTTGATCAATCCAAGTCAGTAAAAGCTCATTTCCAAATCCCGTGATTTTCTGGTCAATGGTGAGTAGTTCTGAATATCTCGATATAGTTTGATATACTAAATCTCATTTTAGTACTATCAATGTTTATACTTATATTTACAATTTACTGAGGTTTTCATCCATTATTGTATCGGGCTAATTTGTACTAAACGTTCTCAAACACGGCTTTTATAAGATTATTTGATTAATAAACCCCAACTTTCTTTTCACGAGTGATGCTATTGGCTTTGAGACCTTGGAACTAAAAGATACCTTTCATCATTGAGAAGTGATTCCCGTTCACCGCTTTCATGAAATGGAATCTGATGTAGATAATGGAGTTCCTTACAGCTGGACACAGCCTCTGCAGAGTCATCCACAATCCATTTTAGGTTAAGACGTCTGTTCTTCAGGATGTTCTTAATATGAACTGTTGAGGCTATCCGTCCAGCACCAAACACTCCAACATTGTATTGTCTGGATAAAAGTACATTTAAATATAATCTTATAAACAGGAACTAACTATTAATACATATCAGTCAGTTATTACAATTGACACTCAAAAAAGGAAGAATTTCCTAGTAAATATATATACCAGTCCTACATAATGGTTGAAATATAAAAAAAATATTTAATTGTGGGGGATTGGCTTTTAGTTGTTGTCCATATACCATTTAAATTAACACGTGTATGACGTGTATGACGTGTGACGTCAGCATACAGAAATCTAAACATCGCCTTAATTACTGATGAAGGGATCGACTTGAAGTTCATCCAAATGGTACATGTCCCGATATAGACAAAATTTATCAATCTTTCACAGAACTATTATTACTTCTTAGTATAGAGTATTATATATAATTCCATTTCCGATAAACTCCTGTTCGCAAATTCATACAATTAGTTGTAGGATCACGCAAAACAACTAAAATAACCGCCGTTCATTGTCCTGCTGAAACACATAGCTACACCTACATGGCGTTATCGGAAATCGCACAAAAGACACTCATGCTTAATAACATCTTAGAATTCAGAGTTAGATACAGTAGAGCCAGACAATGAATTAAACTGCATCATACAGCTGTTGCATCCTTCTAGTGGTCCTGAAGGCCTAATGTTCGAAAGCTAAGATGCGACTATGGAAAACCCAAAGTGATCACAAGAAAAGTAAATATTCTTACGACGAGGTGCACTAGCCCCATAGTAAATAAATTTTCATACATCAGCTATTTAAGAACAGCGTCAAGAACATAGGTGTATTCTGAACCGAGATTCTTTTTGAATGAGATGGCCCATTTTGGTTAATTTATGACGCCTTAGGATTGGTCCATATATCTGGATATTCAGTATTTTCATGTACTTTATATGACTTGTTCATAATCAACTTAGACTAGGATCGATATTATTATTATACAGAAAGCAGTGAGACCCTATTACGTAGGGTAATTGCCGAAATCGATCACAATGTACATGTACAAGGCTGTTTATTCCCTTGTTTTGATGCTCATTAAGTATAGACATATGTCTTGCCTCTGTCCTGATGTGACCTTCTTTTCTGTAGAGGTGGGCTGTGTTTCGACAGATGAGCACAGTAAACGCCGAAGTATCTGTGAATAAGGAAAGAACTGATTATGTTTGGTATTTACATATACATATTTTTCTTTATTTTATACTGTCATATTCCATTTACAATTTGATTTCACGATCTAATCATATTGCTATAAGATTGTGAGATATAACGCTTGATGTGTTTAATTCTCACTCGTTTGACCAATGGTTCCATCGTTGTTTGGATCATGGTTATGTTGAAATGCTTATATTTTCTTGATATTTTTTGTTCAAGGTTTGCCGAAATTTCAATACATTTGCGGTTGGATTATGATTAGAATAACGTGTCGGTATTTTCTCTAAGTTTAGATGTATTCTTAAAGAATTGCAAATTAACGAAATGTATTGATATTCAAACATGTAATATCTGTTAAAGACACATTGACTACTCTATGTTTTAAAACTTTGAGTATAGTAATATTGTAATATAATAGAATAGACAAAACTTATTGAGGACTTCCAAATGTCTGGAATATCCATTCATCAGTCTGTCATTATTCAGCTGTTTGCTCTCTTAGTGGTGGGTAGAGTATTAAGATATTGTTGTGTTAAAAGATCTCAATCATTACTAAAAAATGTTTAAAAAAAATATTGTTAAATATCCGATGTCATCGTCTTGTAAAGGCAAGCTTTAAATGTGGTGATTTCAAGGTCTGAAAGAAATGTGACCGGCATAGAAACAATAAAACCACTATGATTCATATTACATAAGCACGAGAATATTAGTCAGTTGGATACCCCTATTTATGTCGAACAATAGTGGTATATACACTGAGAGGTAGAGAATGTTGGTCTACACAAAAGGTAAATTGGAGAAATTATATGCAATCTTACTGGTATTAAGCAGTCTCTAATGTTTTTGTTGTAAGGAAAGTCAGTGGTTTATGTAATCCTGGTGTCCTTTATGTGCTTGACATGATCGTGTTAGATACACCACCTACAATTTTATTAGTTATGACAAATTCAAACTTGGCTTATTGCCATCACTAGACCGCTATCGGTAACACTTTTAACGAATATTATGTTATTACTGGTGTGTAGTGTGATTTAGCGGAGTTGTGTTTGGTTAAAGGGTTCCATTGTTTCCACTGTGACGCCATAACTCAATGAATATAATGTAACAAAAAACCATATGGAGTTATAACATCACCAATAATATTCGAATTTTAAACCATTGTTTTCCAAAGAAGTCTACATGATAAGTTGCGTGATAAACAGAATATTTATTTAGCTGATGTTTCATACGTGATTATGAAACTCGTCACAACAATTCTTTCATTTTACCCTTAAGTTCAATTTTCTTTGAAAAGAAGTTTATAAATGTATATTTTTAAGTAGATACAACTTTTGATGCCTGTCAAATTATGAACAACTGAAATTCTTAATCCTATCATTCAACTTGACAGGTTTGTTTATATTAGTGTAATGAACTACCGCTTAACATGCATGAGCCAATTATCGTATTCTCTTTTAGCTTCTTCAGGAGTCTCCATATCTTTAAATTGTCATACCTTGTAAATATTTCCTAATAGGTATATCATATTCCCCAACACGATTGAGGGTTTCTCCGAATAACGTTATTTTAAAGATTAACAGTTGTTGTAATAGACATTACGAGCTTTGCTCCATTTACAGTTGATAAATGTAAGCAAGAACTACTTTCAAAAATAGAAATGAAATTAACACAATCTACATAATGGAACACGTATTTCTGTGTCGTAAACACTGATTCAATGTAGATCAATAGTTAGAAATTTTATACTCATTTCAGAACTTGCAGCGTAAATCAATGTACAGTCCTGTTTATAAACTGGAAATCCTTGTCATATATCATTTGTGTTCCTCTGCGGTAGTAGGTATATGTGTAGACAGAAAGGTGTTTATCTAGGTAAAGCAGTCTACTTTAACGATTTTTAATTTCAACGGTTCACAAACTGTTTACTCTGGTTTAAGATGAGGCCTGATAAGGGTGATTTTGACTACTTCCTAGATACTAAATACATCATTGCATATTTGTATATATAATCAATGATTAAGTTACAGTGATTAGAAAACTATGGTAGAAACGATAAAGATGACCAAAAACCAGATCACAGATACCTGTCACGATGTTACTGAAATAAGCACAAAGCCTTTCTAGAAGAAGTAAACGACTTGATGTTCCAGCTTGATGCCATGTGAATACTTACAGAATATTTAGAAACTTCCTTGCTCAAAAGATCACGTTTTACATCCACTCTTCCAGTGTGACAACGTGCTGCGGGTAGAAAGCTACGGACAGGTGAAAATACTATCCTCTTCGCTAGGTGCGCCATGTTATATCTTAAAGGTATATATTACACACGTGTTCGTGACCTCGCTCAAAGTTTAGTCTTCCCTGATAAGGACCATGAGATACCTTGGCGTACTGTATGTGTTGGACACTCAGACCAACTATCTCGGATAGCCGTTATGAAAGATCAAATGAAAAGCAGTATGTTTACCGGCTGGGAATTCGATAGTGCAGTATATTTATAGTTTACCTGACTTGCGCTGCTGTCATAGTGTCATAGTTCAGTGAAGACGATCTTCAGTCTCAGCTGTTAAATACACTTGACATTGTTATACGATGTCAGGAAGAGCAAACGACGATATCACTTGGCTCTACATGTGAAGGTATGACGGTTCATTTTTGTGTTTATTTACCGGGTTATCATCTAAAGTGTGATATATTTCTTTAAAGTACAAACATGTATATTAATGTATCGTTAACGGCGTTTGAATTTTGCCGCATGTTATGTAGCCCTGTTGTACAAAGTGGGGATCAGTAGCTGTGAGATTTACTAATACGACGCCGGGTGGGAGCAGAAAACATTCACCTTTGAGGTAGATGTGATGGAACTGGGCGTACTAAAAATGAGTTTTATAACTGTTTCTGGCTGTTTTTTTGCCATGGAAATGTGAGTATCAGTTGTATATTGTTACCATTATTCTGAACAAGTTAGTGTATCTGAGTGTCAATGCTATTTTTGCAGTAATTGGTGATGTTCTTTGCGCGTGAAGCGAGGTCTCTCGAGCACGTGTACTGTATTAAGTATTAGGCAAATTCACAGAATTGTACAGTAGTACTATTGCGTTAAATGGTTCATAAACTGTTTATAAAAGAATGATAGTTGGTAATATTCAGCTGTCAGTGGGTTATTTTGTAATATTTGGTATTTTTTCTATGGGAAGTGCAACCTGTGATGTCACGTGTGTAACTTTTACTTCCGGCGCTTACCGAAGACTTCTGGAATATAAACAAATATGTGACTATATTGTAAACAAATAGTTTTGGTCTGGCAGACTCCTTGGTGACTGTGTGAAGGAGTGGACAACATGAAGCGGACCTGACCAGGACGGCTGGACATGACTGCCACTGACTTCACACCAGTTCAACGTACAGAACATGGGCGAACAACCTAGACTTTATCAGTCACCCGAGTAAGAGACATGTGTTATATACGTCTCTGCCCGATTGTACGTCTATTAACTGATCACGCGGACCATCCCTCTACGGATCCAGCGGCACATCAACGTAGATGGCGATACACCCGAGGTTCACGCACCGGGACTCTCTCATTTGTGAATGGTGGTAACGTTTCAGTGGCTTCCAATATGTGACAATCGTGAGATTGGTATTTGAACTGTGTACTGGAACTGTGAACTTTTAACTGTTACGTATTATTCAGTGTAATTATAGCCTACATCACAAAATACTCACAGTGAATAGGAGAGAATAGAAGGAAGGCAGTTAGTAATACTTAACCTATCTTTGTTGATAGATGCGTTGTAGCGGAGTTAATGAGACAGTAATGTTAGATATCTTATGAGAGTTATCCTTCTAGTCATATTTTAATTGTTGAGTAACCTCCATGGCCAGTATTGTTATTTTTAAGCTGGCTTGACATGAGATGGGATCTTAGATCTAGGATTGAATACTCTGTAAATCTTGGTATTTTTCCCTTGTTTTATATTTGTATATAAATTGTTATTTACAATTTATGTTCAGGTTTGTATATTCCTTTCACTTAGCACCAGTCCTTCAGCGTATACTACAATCATTATCTAATTTCCTGAAAATAAACTCTAAACGCATTTGTTATTTAATAATTCAACTTTAAGTCCCTGTGTTATTTTTCATCCTTTTTTATACCCGATTTCATGGCCTTCTTACTACCATCAATTTTGTTCTCACTATTAATTGCTAAAAAATGATGATGCAATCGATAACCTAATTTGTTGATTTTAGATTCGAAAGTGAAGTATCACGTGCTTGTGGAAAATATCAGATGGCTCAAGCTTGTTTCTCCATCAAAAAATGTGGCTAATAGAACAATACGTTAAATATTGCATGGCTTAAAGATGAAGTTTGGCAAGATCTTTTGTTATTTGATTAATTTCAAATGAGAATGACAAACCTCCGCAAATACTTTCACTTTTGATTGGGTCTCTTTTATCTAAAAATTGATTGTTTTAGTGGTTATTGTTGAACATTCTGATCAATAGTAAGTGTATTTATCAACAATGGTGAGACAATGTTCATGAAGAATAATGTGTTTCCCAATCTTGATAAATTACATTGTATCTTGTCTAATATTTTTGTTTCAACTCGCATCATTTTGATGTATCCTTTTAAACAAATGTGTGTAGCACTGTATACTAGTGGAGAATGATTAAAAGAATGTTTTAATATTTATTTCTACTAGTTTGGTTTTCCTAAGTCGCCTTCTGAGTTTCTACACTTTAGGCTTTACAGTAACACTGAACAGTACAATTAGAAAACAGCAGTGTAATGTATCTTTTATACAATAATTTCATATCTATAACCCATTATTGTCAATAAGGTGATTGATTTTCAGGAAGACAACTTTTAGGGGTGATAATTCGTGACAAAAAGATATGTAAAACTTCAGTGTAAATACATTATCATATGTCAGTGACAGAAGGAAATAATATGTTCTGTATATTCTGTATGTATGTGAAATATTGTCATTAATTCCAGCATAGATCGTCAACAAACAAATTTAGCTTTTACATTGATGATTGTTTTTTTTCGGTCGATTTTCAACATACTATATGTTACTTAGAAGAAAAAACAAACTTCGGTCGAAGATGTATTCAGTATTTAAAGAATTTGCTTAAATTCGTTAATACATATAGAAATGGGGACATTTGGTTAATTTATAATCAAATACGTTATACTGATGTGCACATTTTTATATCTCGTGCACAAATGTAGTATAGAGAATCGTGATGAGCATTTTTAATATTCAGTAGAATCCATGAAGCAAAACTGAGAATAAGATTATTTCACGCAATGAGAAATAAAAAGAATATCATTGTAAAGTTTAAATGGGTAAATTTATCCTCTTAATCAGTTGATAAGGAAATTCGGGAATTTGATTTGTAAATTCCATGTTTGAAGTGAACTTAATGTTACGATAGTAATAAAAACATAATTGAACACTTTCTACAGGGTCGTACTCCAATTTCCATTTCTGATGTTATTGAGTAAGTAAAAATTTCAAGAGACATTAAACTGTTTTGACAGATTTCATTGGTCAAACTTGAAATGGATGAGTATTATGTTTGTTACTATCATATGAACACTTGTTTCTTCCAATATAGGGGAAGACAGGGTTTTCCATGTTGAAGTCGAAGCAATTCATCATTGTAATGTCATAATTCCTTCCCCGGATCAATTATTTCATTTCTATCCAAACTGATACTACTATATGTATAAGTGCATTCATGCGGAAAAACAATGCCACAAAACCATTCGCTCAAAACCATGTGATAAATTATGATGCACATTTTCGCAACCTTGTCAGTGGTATTGTCACGTGAGGGTAGGAGATTAATGCTTCAAATCACAAAGATATATTCTAGTTTAACAGGTCAATTCATTACTCTGTATGTTAAGTTTGAAGGCTTGAATGAGTGGTTATTTACAGTACAGACGAGATAAGTTGTAACTGATCTTTAAGTCAATTTTCTGCTGTTTTATAGAAAAAAAAAACAACATTTCCATCTTATTATGAACTATACATCGTCGAGGTTACGAACAGCAGTAAACAGCACGCCCGTAGATACACTATTGTACTGCACGAACGTGTTGTACATTCTGGATGTTTTGACAGGATAAAGAAGAAAAGTCACTAGGTCCTAGTGATTGATTGGTGATCAGGCTAATACCCATGTTGATCTGTGATTAAGGATCTCATCAGTGATTTGACATGAACAACCACAACACATCTCAAGTGCTCGATATTTTCATACCGTTAGCGACTGATTAGCCTGCTTTGCAATGTCGACTGGTGAATTAAACAATTTTTAGTTAGTTTAAACATATTTTATTGTCAAAATAAATTTGAACAAGGGAATTGGGCACAAGTTATTACAACTTATTGGAGCCCTCTCCCATCATACATTTTCAAATACATGCTTATAAAGATATAGGCTTAAACATAAATTATACATATTAAGCATTCACACACAGACATAAATACATTTATAAGAATCTTTTAAAACCTTTTGTTGGATTTAATGAACTTTTGCACATGTGTCAAGACAAAATAGTTAAGATCCTCAGAAAGATCAATACTACCAAACAAAAGAAGCTCTAAATTCAAATCTACTTCTAATTCAGCCAGATTTTGAAACAAAGTGCGTCTTTCATTTGAAACACAAGATTTCTTTGTTTTCAGAAATTGTCAATTGGTTATTGATTCATCATAAATGCCCACTGGGACTGTCATATCATCGTAGAATATTTCTTGAAATATTGACATTTAATTTGAACTTACTACATGTATTAGTACATGACTCAAATTTACTGACTACGAGTTGCTTGTTTCTTGTTCAATAAATTTATTTCAATGAAAATATTGAGACAAAGCAGTTCTTAGCATAATTTCGACATTACACACATTGTAATATTGATATCATTCGATGAAGAAAATTAATACACATGATCAATCACAAAAGAAAAAAAAAGAAAGAAAAAAAGAAAAGTAAAACATTATTTGAAGATTTACTGTAATAGCAAGTAAAAACTCATTTTAGCAAGTAAAAAATTTAAGGCACTTGCTGTTTTTAACAAGTGACAAAAAATGTTAAATTCGAGGTCTGGGTTAAGCGATGCCAGCCTATCCAATCGATTTGTCTCATCATAACCGATTTGTAAATGCTGTTAGCGAAGTTCCCGGACGAAAACAATAAGAAAATTTGGAATATTGGAAACAGTTTCAATACATTTTGGCTTTTGAACATCATTTAATGTATTAACATATTA